TATTATTATTTTTTTTTTCTATCAATATTTTTTTTCTGTATGTACCCATATGTATTGTTTTGCTCTGATGTTAGTTTACTCAAAGGTTAGGTTGAAAAACAGAGATCAGGATCCCTACTTTCTGGCGATTCTGTTCACCTGACACCTCGCCTATTTCCACATTTTTCTTTCACTCACTCGAGTATTATTATCATTATAATTTATGTTTCTTTCATTCTCCTAATCATTTAATGTACACATAATATATGAACGGGATAAATGCTTATCACTCAATTTTGTTTTTGTTATCATCATATCTGTATCATATTATTATGTATACCTATATAGCTAGTTAGGTATTTATTGTTTGTGGAAATAAAGACATTATTATTATTATTATTATTATTATTTATTTATCAAAGTTCAAACGCAGAGAGCAAATTTCATTAGATGTTTGTCGTACAAAGTTATAAATCTGACTGAATGTTGGAATGAACGAATGTAACAAGAGGATTTTGAAGAGTCAGCGAAACCGAAGAGGTGCAGAATCTCCAGTTCTTAGGAAGCTTATAGCTGATATAGTTCACGTTAAGGGGCGCAATGGATAGTACACGCTGAGAAATAAGCAGCTTAGTACACACATTACCTTCAGGATAGACGATTTTTTCCACTGGCATCTGATTATACTGACTAACATCATTTTTATACCAATTATATCGAATTATTCAGGTATAAAATTCTAGTTATGTAATGACTATATTCAAATAATTCAATCATTCAACTGAAAAATTGCCAACAAAATCAATAACGATGTTCCCTTTGTGTTACGGGTGCCATTCAGCAGATTGTATAATGCCAACAGTGGGCGTGCTTTTTCCAGTGCTGCCATTGCCGAGAGAATATGATTTTATGTAGAAAATAATGAGTCATTAACTTTTTGCCGGACATGGTTGAATGAAAAAATATATTCATCAAAATGGATTCATGGATCAGGATCAGGTATATAATTTTTTCTGCTGGAGAATGGAATCAACGAATGTTGAATCAATATGTTATGCGAAGTTTCTGTCAGTCTATAGAATAGTTATTTCACTCCAAATGACATTGACAGTGGCTTTTCTACTATGAAAGTTTCAAGCTCATCGAGATCAGAGTAAATGCAAGTATACTTCTCCTATACATTTGAATTTTCTTTTCGATACTGAACATATTGGTGAGTTATATTTTTATATCATGATACATCATATTATTTATCCGATTTGAGAAAGAATGTTGATTCTCACTTCCAGAGGATTTTTATTTTTCATGCTCTCCCTTTGGATGTTCAACAGATATGATTCAATGTTCGACGTGGCAAATTCCCAGGAACGGAGTTGTTTTTTATTGAATATTCAGAATGATAATATGTGCATATTCATATTTTTATCTGGAGGAGAATGCAAATTCTCAACTTCAGGAGATCTTTTTTCAAAATTCTTATAGTGTGTATTCAAAAGATAGGTTGGTCGTAGCATACAGCAAAGGAAGTAGTTATTTTCTGTTGAATGAACCGAGAAAGAATTGATACTTTCATCACATAGAGAATGCGAATTCTCAATGTATTTCTTTATATATATTTTTCTTCATGTTCATAATTTATATGAGAATCTTCCCAATTCAAAAAATGTTCCACATGGCAGAAAGGCATATTTGATACCGCGACTGGCGTTTCATAGTCGAGGCTAGAAAACCAGCCAAATATTCCATCATCCTTTTGTGTTTTTTTCTTTATGTTCTGGTTCCCACAAAAAGAGATATCCTGTAATGTTCAGGGAACATCGTGAGAACCAAGGGAATAAAGGTAGGAATTGGTGTTCTTCTTGAATTTCTGGAGGTTATTTGCGTCGAGGAACACATCCTTTGGCAATGTGTTCCAGAGCCTCGCAGTTCGTTGGGTGAACAAGTTTTTGGAAAGAGATGTTCTGCAGGTTCCCAAAGTGACCACGAAGGGGTTCGAAGCCTCAATTCGACGGGTTAATCTCGCGGAGACTGACAAGGAAGGAACAATTGTTGATATTTCAGAAGTGCATCGTCCATGAAAATATCTATAAAAAAGTGCCATATCGCCAACTTTTCCACGGTGTTCCAGAGAAGTGAGTGAGTTTTTGAGCGAGGCAGCACCAACGAGACGAATTGCCCTTTTTTTTGACAGAATCCATCAGTTTCAGGGTATGTTTGGGTGCTGCACTCCAAATATGGGAACAGTATTCCAGGACAGGTCGGATCTGTGCCTTATAGATCATAAGCAGCTGACTATAAGTGAATTAGCTCCTGGCCCGAAACAGAAAACCAAGTTTTTGGGGATGCACTTTTAGCAATTGATCTGACGTGATTTTCCCAACCACCTTTTCTGCCTGTTCAGTGTCATAGACACTTTGAATGTCATTTGGAGAAAAAAATCTCATAGTCAACATCTGAATGGCGTTTGATCTTGAGCTCAAGGCAAATTTCGTCTAGGGAAATATTTTCATGTGACGTACGATCAAAGTGAATCTATCATCCTTTCTAGAAGCCCAAATTACCCCACAGGGGGAGAAGTTCTGCATATAAGGCGAGTAAACTACCCTTCGACCGACACTATAATGGAGGTGTGTTTATTTAGTATACCTTTGATGCAAGTGGAACAATGATTGATGATTTGTAAATCAGAGATATAAAAATGGAATACACATCAAATGCAGACATTATTCCCAATCCTCCTCTTATAATGATTTGCATTGTTGAACACTTGTAAGTATCTTCATTATTTCCCATCCAGTTTGATTGATGAAAACTCGCAGATTCGAATCTCACTGGATATGTGGAACCAACTATGAGATTTTGATGGAGATTAATTCTGAATAATCAGGTGTTGTAACATCAACCTGCACTATTTTATTTTATTGACAGTGATATGTGATGTCTGGTGAGAAGAGCATTTGAGTTTGAGGTACATCAATTGTAGCTACTGTAAAAGTGAGGCTATATCATGAGCTATCAGAAGGGAACCAAGTCTATATAATTCATGAAAAAATAGAAAATACTCTATAATTACTATTTCAACATGACCACTTTTCAATAATATAAGCTGATGAGGAACTTCGTTCTAATATGTCATTCATTATGTTACGTAATTTTTGATTAACACTGTATGAAACTTCTCTACAATTCTGATCATCCCATCCCATGAATCCTAGGATAGCTTTTCGGAACTGTCTTGGCCATGTAAAGTTGATATCTGTTAAAAATAGTTTTGCAATCATACATATATCTGCGATTTTCTTGATAACTTCCTTCGTTTGATTTCAAACCAACCAGAACGTTCAATTGAGCTAAACTCCTGAGTATAATTCCGAATATACGAGGATATACCTAGAGAACATACAAATCGTGTCAAATTGAACAGAATAATATTCAATTTGTCGAACTGACAGTCTTTGTATTTATGCAACAGCTATCCATGTATAACCCGAATATTTTGAAGTATCACTACTGAATATACGGAATAAAATACGTGAGATCAGGATTACCTCTTATACTGATATAGAAGGAAGGAAAGACTGCGATAAATCTTGATCGAGATTCTTCATCCCAGGATGAGAGAACGATCCAGAATAGTTTGGTCGTTCTACGATATTCCATGAGTTTCCTATCTCATGTCATAATTCAAATCTTCACGATACCTACTCATTTCGTTTTATAATTTCAGATTAGACGAAAGAAAGGAGCGATGCGTATGTACAGAGTGAGTCATTACTATTGGGACATAGGCTGAAGGTGGATTGTTTGAGCTAAAATATGGCGATAGGACCAAATACAGGGCGTTTCAATCGAAAAAGTATTGACTATGAACTCGCACCAAAATTCAATCACTAACAAAAACTTTCACTTACCAGCAACAAATATGTGACAGTCCGAAGCAAACTCTTTATAAATTTTCTCAACCCACATAACTAAAATGGCATTTAGCGTACGGGTATGTACCACGCTAAATGATCGATTAATCACGGATTGTCGATCTGTGATTTATTCAAAATATTAAACACGTTACCATGGCAAAACGATTTCTTAAACACATTACCATGGCAACGCAGTTCATTGAACACAGCTTCAGTAATTCGAGACATGTCTGGCCTGTCAATTGTTATTGACTGTCAACTGTTATTATCGAATTTTGTATCAGAATTATTCAAACAATATTCGTTTGTATCAGAATTCATCATTATAAGTATACGTGTCTCGCTGGTTGTATGCAGTTGCATGTATTATGTTCTCAATTCCCATTCCTTTCGAATTATTGTGTAGGTTAGCAGGAATTGCAGGTATGTTAATGTAATTTTCGGAGTTCGTAGAAAAATCAAAGTTTGTAACGCGTTTATAAACTCTTCTCGACACTCGTTTATTAAACACTCGCTCCGCTCTGCTTTGCCCGTGCTTAAACTACTCGTTACTGAAAGGACGTTTATAACACTTGTTACATAATATACTATAAAAGTATTCGAATTTTCTCCCAGAACTTCGATAGGCTAAGTTTCGTTTTTCTGGAAAATGGATGAAAATATCGTGTTTGAACAACATCACCAATATTTCGTGGAAATGAGGATTTTTTCATATTTCATGATCAAAATCACTTGATAGTTTTGTCAAGAAGAGTTGCCAGTCAACTCCATCATCAGGAATCATACAAGTAGCGTCTTCTGTAGAAAACTGTGAAATGATGCATCGTATATTATTCCCTATATAAAATTATGCCTCTGTGCCAATTGCGATAGCGATTGATACATATACAGTTAAATTATCATCAAGAAACGAAAAAAAGTCAACTCCATCGCCCTGTATCTTTCTCCACAGCAATATTTTATCGAGGCATATTCGTTCTTATCGCCATATTTTGGTCCAAACAATCCGCCCTCAGCCTATGTCCCAATATCTATGAGCCACACTGTATAATTCATGTATGGACACCATTAAAATAAGAATCGAAAAATACCTACTGTACTCACCCTGCGACTGTCGGCGATCTGTGGAAAAACGAAATCGGTCGCAGTCAGCAGTACTTTGTACGGCCCTTTGGTCACCCTCTTCTTCCCCAGCTGGTTCCTTGCCAAAGCAACCGCTCCCAAAACGGCCGAAACGAACAAGCACGAGCACCCCAAAATGATAACCGCTGTCAAAATCTTTTGGATATTGTTCGTACACTCCTCGCAATCTTCCGCCTGCTCGTGCTTCACAATCCACTCATCCAAATATTCGAGCATTCTCTCCGAGTAAAGTTCACCGGTGCTGGTTACGCTCACAAACATCAGAGGGCGCAGCGTGTCGTCATCACGGAAATCCGCGAGAACGAAACTCGAGTCACTGTTGTTCTGCGCAGACAACGATTCCCGCACTCCGCGCGTACTCGATCTACTATTGTTCTGCGCAGAAAGGGATATCCGTACTCTGCGCACCACCGATTGTTCCGGGCTCAGAGAGGCCGATTCGTTATCTGCGAATATCAAAGCGTTCCTCTTGGTGAATATACTGATATTCTCTGTGTTGTTGATTTCCGAGGTCTCGGTGGTGTTTTGTAAGAGGTTCAGCCAAGGTGGAAGGTTGGACACGTCCACGTAGACGGTGATGGTATGTTGGTGGTGGAGTTGGAGGTCGTCTAGGGCTTCCAGGGTGATTCTGCCCGTGGCGTCTGCTGGAGCGAATATGAAAAGTGCTGAAAATGGAAGAAAAGTATGTAGGTGATATGGTCCTTGTCCCGAATGAGTCGATGCATGCATTTGATAGGGCCTATTGTCAGTAAGTTTTTCACACCAAGAGGATTATCAATTAGCTCTTATACGAAACTGTATAACCTTCAAAGGATTTCTGAATTGAATAGGCACCAGCGTAGTTCCTTTTTCACTGTAATCAAGTCCATCATTTAAAAAAAAACACATAACTGTGAAACAACACATATATGAGAATGAAATGTCGCTCATATACACACAATATATCAATTCGTCTATATACGATAAAAATGCTTTCAATTTGAAGTATTTGTTCTTCTTGTTCCTACCTTGGATGTTGGCAAAAATTTACACGGTGGCGTCAGTAAATAGGGCCTCACGAATCACGAATCGAAAACGAAAAACCTTTATTCCTTCTGATGAATTGTTGGCTAGAATACATCGTGACATACTGTATACGCAATATATTTTATCACCGATATAACTATGTAAATCCAAGCTTTTGCCACTATAGTGAATAGTGAGGTAGTTTGAAAGTACAAAATTTTATTGGTACAATTTCCGATACATTACCGATTTATCGTAAAACACTATAACGCCCTGATGCAGTTCTATTTCCTGTAATTCCTCAACAAATCCTATACTTGGGGGGTATATGAACAAACATGTCCCTGAAATTTCTAGAAGAACTTTCAACCACTCCACTTTTTCGAAGAAGGGTGCTGCTGCGTGCTAATATGTCCTTACATATTGAGTATCCGTAGATGACTAACGATTCTGATGGAACAAGGGTTCATAAGTTGGTGAGATGCCTCATTGTGGTAAACGAGTATGACAAAGATGGTGAATGAAGGAGGGATGGAACTTAAATGATCGTGTTTTATTTGAAATTCATAAGGTAATATTTCCAAAACAAAAAGAGTGATTTGAAGAAGGTGACCTGTTACACGTTGAAAACGTTGACTCTTCACGTCAGATGACATTTCCTAGTTGAAATATGTCATTCAGCAGTTAAACGATGTTTTTGAAACAGGATTTTTCTCGGTGCAGAAAGAAACAGAGTTCAAACATAAATCTCAATTTATTGTTAACTCAAATATGGAGATTTGTTATGCTTGCCTAGAATCACTCCACTCTCCTCAGCTAATTTTTGAACCGTACAAAAAATATCGAATTGGAAACTAATGATATAAATTATATATCAGAAGAATTTGAGAGGTAATGACGGCAAGACAATTCGAAAAAAACGACTAGAACATTTTTATGTCTATCAAAGAACTCAAAAATCCATAATTTCAATGAAAGTGGTTAAGATAGATAATGCATCTAGAAAATATGCTTTCGACAGTTTCTATCTCTGACAGAATGCATTTCAGGTCATGATGGGAACCGTTCACTTCAAAATAGAGTGAATAATCTCAAACGAAGTTAGTAGATTCTATTCTGACTCACCCTGCAAATAAGAGCAGTAAAACTAAATATAATTAATCCTCCATTTTTTTCCTTCTATACCATTCACTTATCTGACAAGCGTCCCTTCGAATTAACGATGACGAACGGCGAATACTCAGCCATAATGAAAACTTTTTCCGTACTGTACAGAACTGATAAGGAGGCAGAAGAAGGAAACTTTTCGGGACATTCAGTAGTGAAGTAGGGTCATTTCCGCCTTGAGAGAATCATTAGTAATCATGTTAGTAATAGACGTTATATATTGTTAGAAAAATATTGGACCTACTGCCACTTATTCTTCGATTTCTTTTCCTCGCATATACTGATTATCTTGAGGAGACACAACATACAGTGTGCTACGATTTGGTCCACCCCACCCCTATACTTTTGTATTCCTAGGGCAACTCGAAATTCTTTTTCTCACTGTATACTACTCAAAATTATCTACTTTTTCGAGCAAAAATTCATCGATTACAATTTCTAAGCCTACTGCGATCACAAAAACTTCAGCAAAATTGAAGGAAACGGATTAGGCCTTTTTTTAAGAAAATTTTGATGGAAGCACTCGATTTGGACTAGCCACATACACTCTTATATTAATTTCATAAACAATATCTCATACGGGGTGTTTTTTCACAACATTACAATTTTTGAATAATTGCACTTTTCAAGTCACCGTGTATAATAATTCTTAGAATTTTGAATGATATCCAGGCATGATGGTAGTCAGGATTAGAACATCTGGCTACAGAGTGAGATGAATAACTACTAAAATCACTGAAAATTCGTTTTTTTTCATCAAGAAATAAATAGAAACGAAATGATACCTATCAAAGAATAACATGGAAAATCAGAGTACAAATGAGCAATCATTATTCCTAACAAGTTAAAATTTTTATATTTTCGATCGAATCTCCTTCACGAGAGACGTTATTTCCAACTCTCCTGCAAGGTTTACAAATTGAAGACAAGAATTAGGGAAGAGTGAATTGCGACAAATAAACAGTTTGCAGACAGATATCACCAGAAGAACTGAGGAGAGTTGAAGATAAAGTACGAAAAGGATATGGAAAGTGCGAAGAGAATGGAGATTTTATCGAGAATAAAAAAATTTAACTTGTTAGGAATAATTGCTGTTTGGTTCTTTGTCTAAAATTCTTGATGTAATTTTTTGATAGGTATATAATTCGGTTTCTATTTATTTCATGATAGAAAAATCCTAATTTTCAGTGATTCCATCAGTTATTTGTTTCACTCTGTAGCCAAATGTTTCAATCCTGACTACCATCATGCCTGATATTATTCAAATTCTAAGAATTATTGTACACGGTGACTTCAAAAGTGCGATCATTCAAAAATTGTAAGGTTGATAAAAAACACCCCGTTTGAGATATTGTTATGAAAATTGATATAAGAGTATTTTGTGACTTGTGTAAAGATACGCCTGATCCGTTTTCTTCAATTATGTGATCGTAGTAGGCTAAGAGATTGTAATTGATGAATTTTGTTCGCTCACAAAAGTAGATAATTTTGAGAAGTATACTGTGAGAAAATAAATATTTTCGAATCGCCCTAGGAATACAAAGTACAGGAGAGGGTTGGACCAAATTGTAATACACAATTAACAAATTTATATTTTTATTTTGCTGAAATAGGTCCGGCTAAGCCGTCGTACTCTTAAATTAGAGCTTGTTTGAATTAAAGTGACTTCATAAATAGAGTGACGACAATAGTGGTACCTTATTTGATTGGTCAGACCTTTGATATGGAGGTGCATTCAATTGTCTGCATGGTCTCCTCCATTCAGTTCTACACATTCTATTTCACTTTGTTAACGCTTTGTCTCTATTTTTCGCACTTTGAACACAAAACATCCAACAATCAGACATGAAACTTTATACGTCAGTACCTTAGATATTAACTAGAATTCGTCTTCTGATACTTGTAAGTCTCAGATTATTCAGATAATGAAATGAAAGTATCAGATTCCTAAACCTTACATCAGGTGGCCACTTCGAAGGCGCAAATTCATTATTGCATGGAAGATTTTCTTCAGATGTTTAGCTATTCAGTGACTTTACCACGAATGACATTCCGGAAACGGTAGCCATTTGGAGGTAGGCCTATTGTCGTCACTATATTCAATATACTAACTCTAGTTTGAAACCTTAATATCCACTCATACTTCAATATACTATTTTTCCAATGAACAGCTAATATTATTCCTTGCCTATAAGATTTTCATTGAGGATGACAATGGTTCAGAGGAAGCAACATCGACAAGGTATTATCAGTAGTAATACTATAAGTACTCCAAAATATTCGCGTTATACATCGATAACTTGTTGCATAATTACAGAGTGTCAGTTCAACAGTTTAAATAATCCGACCGCGCAGCGGGAGGATTACTGGCACAAGATTTTGAAGTTCGAATTGTATTCGATGCGCTTATTTTTTGAGTATAGTTCTGAACGATAAACACAATATCAATTCAAGAACATATTTGTGCAGTAAAAATTATAATTATTATGAACAGAATTTTTTCATTCGTGTTATTTTCAGCGCTAGAAACGTCCTCTGGCTATTGATGGTTGCTGAGGTGCTGGACATTTCGACGTTACTACTGGATCCAGAAGTGTGTATCTATTTGGTTCTCATCTGATTTATTATATTTTTGTGATAATCTTAATCCAATCGCAGAAACGGTTTTATAAAATTGCTACTACCATGACCTGTAATTTATTTTGATCAGTTCTCGTTCCGATACTCCTGCTTTTGCCAATTGTGAAACGATAGTAGCCCGATGAGAATGATTTGAAATTTTTTTATTTGTGATGTCTGAACCGGCTAATTCTGCTGATATTCTTGGTCCATTTGCTAATCTCGTGTACTTCAATTGGCATACTTCTGTACTAGCCAAGAAATTTTTGATTCTTCTAGTTCTTCTTGTTTGGATTCACCTGTCTGTTTTGATATTCTTATGTTCCATCCTTTTCAACATCAACTCCTTCAGAAGTCTCACTGGGCAACGATTCACATTATTCTGATTGGGTACAAGCCACTTATTATTAGCATGAGTTTTTGCTCCACCCTGTGTTGTTTTTGTAAAATTAGGGTTACATTGTATCCTACCAGTTGGAGAATCATCATTTCCATTTATAGTGGATCGAGCATGTCGCTTCTTCATTTCCTCTCCATGCAAGTTCTACAGACGCAATCAAGAAAAACTTTATCTGTAACCCTTCTGGTTCATTTTCATCCCCAGCTTCTATCATTGCTTCATACTCATTGTCTCTGAATGCTGATGCACTGACCTCCCTCTCATCCGGTAAGGATTGGAGCTCCCTTCCTCATGAATTTTTCACTTTTCGTGTCTCCACAAATATTGGACTGGAAAAAGGGTCAATTGCTCTATTGAAATCCTTCATAAATTTTTCTTGGATTTGTTTTGCCGTAACTCTCCGTATGGTTTTCACAACATTTTCTTTATAATTCTCTCCATTACATTTTCGCAAATTGTAAGCCCCACTCAATC